TCATGGACATTAAGCCTTAATCTTCTGGTGTGCCTAGTGTATGTAGGTTGGGGTAAGGCTCCACGCCCATGCCTTATATCACACAAGTATAATGACGTTTACAACAAATACCAGAAAATAACAATCTTGGTACATGTGGACAATTATGGCCAGGCGCAAGCAGCAAGTTACATCAACCCCAAACTAGTACCTAATCCACCGCCCTTTCGCCTTAGACACCGCCCTCACCCTCCTGGGCATGCTTTCCACTAGGTGGGTGCACACATCCACCGGGATCTTCTCCCATTTCTCCTGCACCCGCTCCCAAAGGTCCAGCATACAGTGGGAGGCTTATAAGGCTTGGCCAGCTGCCTCTTGAGATGAGCCCATAAATGCTCTATTGGGTTGAGGTCGGGTGAGGAAGACGGCCACTCTAGCACCCCTGAATCTTACTCTCAAAGCCACTCCTGTACGATACGCGACTTGTGCTTCGGGTCGTTGTCATGCTGGAAGATAGTTTTTGAGGGTGTAAGCTGGTAAAGCTCAATCGTACTGTTGAGATCGTCCTGCAGTATACTCAGCGAGAGCAGTCCGTCCACCCTACCATATGTTTTGCTCATGAAACCCGCTCCCTTTTACGACATGCAGTCGTAAATTATCAAGCAACCGCCCCCGTTTTTTACGGTCTGCTTGATTTGGTGTCTTTGGAGGGCAGTCCCTTCGTGAACGCAGGTGTATGAGAGTTAGTTGGATGCAAGACGACCGATCTTGGTCTCATCCGCACAGAAAACGCGCTTCTAGTCGTCGACCGTCCAGTCTGCGTGGGCACGCGCCCATTCCAGCCTATCGCGTATGTTTTTCCGAGAGTGTCGCGGCTTCTTGGGATGCTTGATTGCGACAAGTCGGCTCCCATTCTAAGCGTTACGCAAGGTCTTAGGATGCAACGTGATGCCGTGCTGCTTCTCAACGATTTTCGCCACGTGAGCGGAGATTTCGGCCTCCTCGAGGGTAATCGACCGAACTATGCCGCGGCGAACTCTCTCTGTCACTAAGCGAGGGCGACCGGCTGAGGGCATCGTAGGACGCACGTCATCGCGGGTAGACTCTACAATCGCCTTGATGGGCCGAACTCTTCCCTATGGCTAGCTGTTTAGCGATTCAACGATTGCTCTACCCCCTCCGCAACAAGGGAATGATCTATGCGTAGAGCGCCTCATCTAACGGTTTCATGACGGCCTAATCATCGCAGCGGTCCTAGCCTATCTCCTGACTACTCGATAGTCGCGAGGGCAAGTAAGAAGAAATAGCGAGGTTAGGAAATAGATCTACTACGCTGCTTGGCCTAAACTGTCCGGATGCACCCACGCGGACGAAATCTCGTCCTCGGTAAAAAATCGACCCCTATAAAACTGAAACCAGCATCCGTCACATACAGTACAGAACTACTTTACATCCAACCCCGAAATTTGATTCGTAACTAAACAAAGAAGGCACCATACCAGTACGAGAAATGTTTTAAGGCAATTATCCGGGCAATACTTTCCATCGCTGTAGTTGTATATGGAGAATGGAGATGCATAACGAAATGAACAAAATGGCCGGCCATGGGGAACATGCACCTTCCACGCGGTGCCCATCAGGAGAAGACTAACGACTGTCTGTACTATCAGGGATAAGTTTGCGAGCATCTACCGGTGGCCGTCCTCATCCTCCGATGACGCGTCGCTGTACGAGTCCTGTGAGAGTACGGCCACGTTACACTTCTTTCTCCTTTCTATATTTCTTCTCTTTCTCATTCTCCTGTTTACTGTATCTTGATTCATTCGGACTTTATTTCATCTCATTTGGTTTCCTATTCCTCATTTCCCATCATCCTTTGGTTTACCCTATTATCATAATTATATCACCGACCAGGCTTGGGATGTACTGGCGCGCTATATCTAGCGTAATCCCTTAAAGCCAGAGGCCTCGCGTGGCTGTATGCAGGGTAATTCTTTTTCTATAACTGCCTATTCCCTTTGGATAGGATAAATTTGGTTACCTGATGTACCTTGGAAGTATAAAAGCGCCTTGTATCGATCGATAGTGCAACTTCCTCTCGACCAATTCGATCCTATCACACTTCGTAATCAGAGCTTTCTCACTTGGCCACACTCAGCTAAGCAGCAGCAACGGGAAAACCAGCCTCGAAAAACCGTTGGGGGCGAATAATTCATCGCCGATTCTAGTAAGCACCAGCTCCGCGTTTTTTTAATGAACCCCTCCACGTGTGTTTTGAACAGGATGGCAAACTTCGACAACGCCGAGGTTACCCAACAGCTCTTAGCTCGCATCGCTGCCCTACAGGAGGAGATGCGAGCCGACCGCGAAGCTTGGCGAAACGAGTTCGAGCGAGTAACACGACTCGCCGGCGTGCAACACGAAACGACAACGGCGACAACACAGGAGCCACGTAAGTTTCTCGAGGCCTCGAAGCCGCGCCCACGTGAGCCGTTCAATACGGGAAATTGGAATTATGACGACCACAGATGGATCACCAGCATGGAGATCTACTTCGCAACCATCGAATGGAGCTCACCGGTTTGGGATGGTCTTCGCGTGTGACTCGCGGTGATACTGATGCGAGGCCTGTCACTTGAGTGGATCAGCGGCAAAAGTGCATTCATCCACGGTGAAGCCACGTGGCAGAAGTTCCGCATCGACCTCTTGAATGTTTCGAGCCGATAAATTCCAGTTTCCTTGCCCGGGAAAAAAATCCATCGCCTTCGACAGTTCGGGAGTGTAGCATAGTACACGCAGCAGATAAAGGAATTTTATAACCGCATTCCCGACTTGACCGAAGGGGAAAAGGTGAAATCGTACCTCGCCAGGCTTAAGACCAAAGTCAAATGACAGGTGGCAGCGACGAATTACGCGAGCTACAGTGAAGTCACATCGGCAGCGCAGCGGTTTGACATGGTCAACGCTGGAACACGACGGGCACACATCGGCAAAACACGACAGGGCGACCGCTTGGCACACCCCACGTTCGCCGACCCAATGGAGATCGACTTATTGGACGGGCTGCTACGTCTTAAAAATGCCAACCTCACGTGCGATTTTTGCAGGGTGCCGGGTCATCGAATCTTCGACTGTTATAAAATGAAAGCCGCACGTGCAGAGTATCGGACGCACAATAGTGGTGGAAACTATCTAGCCAATCAAAAATAAAAGAACGGGAATGGCCAGTGATTGCGGATCTAGCTAGCAAAAAAGAAAATATCCGAAATCGGCCGCGGGATTCCAGAAAAATCTACTTCGACGAAGCTGATTCGATGTGGGCATAAGGAAATGATTTGGGAAATCTCCACCCCACGTCTAGTCTTCGCGTGGGAAAATCGCTGAGAAAAAAAATATGACTCTGCAAAAAAAAAAAGACTCCGAAGGGACGGGGAAACTCCTTGAAGACCTAAGAAATTATTAGGATTCGTTAAATTTAGCTTATAAAGATGCTTTCATGAAAACTTATGATTCTTGAGGGGCTAGAGCATTGGAGAAATTTCAGTAGGGACTCCAAAAGAAATAGAAAATTGTGGAGATGGTACCGGTATCAGAGAACTTGGGGAAAAAAATAAGGAGTGTGGAAAGGAGCTGACCTTTCTACGGAGTCAACGTCCTCTCCCGACACCAGCCCACAGCAACTACCTGCTCCCGAGGGAGGACGTCGGTGGAGTTGAAGCAGCTCAAGAGGAAGCTGGAGGTCTACAAGAAGCTGCAAAATCCCTGAACTCCTCCTTCGGATGCATCCAGCACAGCAACTTCGGCATCGATGACACTCACTGTCGTCAAGGAAACTCCGAGCTCTGTAAAAGAGCCCTTCTCCAAGCTGCCTCGGCCAGCTGTCAGCTCAGGAGTAGATAGCAACGAAAATGTGTGTACGGAATATTGGGATGTACCCTATTATCCTATTGAAGAAACTATCTTTGGGTACTCCGAGCAACGCCAGCCCCTTGTGCTCGAGGTCATCTGCAAAGGGCGACGACTCCAAGCACTTGTGGACAGCGGAGCGTTGCACACCATATGCGACAAGGTAGCAATCGACCGAATTCACGAAGAGTGCAAGCCTTCAACATTTTTCGCAACAATGGTGGACGGCAGCAAGTTACCTGTCTACAGCGCAGCAGTGCTACACCTACAAACCGGACCACTGCGCTGGAAACATGCCCTCCCCGTCACCAACATAAAAGGGCTTGAATTGATCTTTGGGAAAGACTTTCTTAAGAATTTCAACCCCGAGATCAACTGGGTCAACCGCACTGCAAGCATCTACAACAACGGAAGGAGAGTCTAGCTACCAAACGGGAACGACACAGGAGAGATTCTAGAGGAGACACTCGCCAGATTCGAGAAGGACAGGAAACCAACCGACATAGGGTTCTTGGTGATAACAACAGATGCAGGAGACGGCAGAAAGAAAGCCTCAAATCCTCCATAAAAATTTAAGGAATTATTGAAGGAGTTTGAAGACATTCTTCCCGACGACCTTCTGTACGAGCTACCACCATACTGAACACACCAAAACGAGATCGTGGAAGAACCAGGTTCAAAGCCGACCTTCCAAGCACCATACCGGCTTAGCCCTACAGAGTTAGCTGACATGTAGAAACATATCGAGTATCTTCTCGAAAAAAAACTCATCCGTCCATCCACTTCACTATACGGTGCCCTAGTACTCTTCACACCGAAACCGAACAGAAGCCTGCACATGTGCATCGACTACCGACTCTCAACAAGCAGACCATCAAGTATACATACCTGATTCCATGAATCGATGACCTGCTTGACCAACTTCGGGGAGCCATGATATTTTCCAAACTGGAGTTGCAATCCGGATACTAGCAGATAAGAGTGGAGGACAACTCCATCCACGAAACTGCCTTCGAACTCGGTATGGGTCGTACGAGTATCTGGTCATGCCGTTCGGACTCACCAACGCACCGGCAACCTTCCAAACCAAAATGAACCACATTCTACCCCCACTCTTGGACGAATGCATGGTGGTGTATCTGGACGATATTCTCATTTATACTCGCGCGATATGAAGTAGCACATCGAACACCTGCGACGCGTCTTCGACATTCTTCGACAGGAGCGTTTCTACATCAAATTACCCAATAGCGCATATGCCTTAAAAAAGGTCCAATTCCTATGACATATGGTGAGCACTCAAGGAGTCCACATCGACCCCAAGAAGATCGAAGTAGTATGCATGTGGAAGACACCCGAGAACGTGAAGGAATGGCAGCAATTCCTAGGTGTCATCAACTATTACAACAGGTTCGTGCCACAATACACAAAAATTGCCGCACCACTCACGAATCTGCTAAAAAAAAACACGCCCTACGAATGGGAATCAAAACAGCAGGAAGCCGTGGAGCAGTTGAAATGGGCACTCACGTCCGCACCAATACTTACTGTATCTTGCCAGACCCCGAACGCGACTACGCCATCGAAGCTGACGCCAGTGACCAGGCAGTGGGAGGGGAGTGGACTGAAACCAATCGCCTACCTTAAGAACTACATGGGGCATAACTAAATTACCCGATACACGACGAAGAGGCCCTTACTATTGTCATCACCTTCAAACGTGGAGATGCTATCTCGAAGGACGAAAAACAACCGTCTACACCAACCACTGCAACTTGAAATATTTGAAAACACAGCCAAAACTCTCCAGGCGGCAGGTCCGGTGGATTGAATTCCTCGAGACGCACTTCCACTACGATATCATGTACAATCCCGGACACAAAATCAAAGTAGACCCTCTCAGCCTGCCTGCACATGTTGCGGCTATCCAGGTCGAAGAGATGAATCTGCTACTCAAGGGATGTTGAGAATGGCCCTGATCCTGCGAAGGCTGCTGAGTCTTCAGAAGTGGCACATTGGCAGAGTTTGTGAACTCTGCCGACGTCTGCTCCGGAAAAGAGGCCCGTCGACGGATAAGGGCGGCAGAGTCTGCAAAAGGGGCACGGTAATACACTCTGCCGACGCCAACAAACTCAGTCCGCAGAAAGATTCAGCGACAAGGCGAGACTCTACAAAATGGCCTCATTGGCAGAGAACGGAATCATCAAAGTGTCGGCAGAGTACACTTGCGGAAAGAAGTGTACAGCACGAGAAGATGAGGTTCTCATGCTCAGCAAAGTATGGGCAAGCAAGGCCCGACAAAGTTTGGGCGCGCGAGGTCCAGCAGAGTTTGGGCGCGCGAGTCTCGGCAGAGTCTCGACAGAGGGCGTGGGTCCTTGTCACAATGCGACTTTGTAGAAGGGTGCGAATTCTTAATGCGGCACAAAGAGGAACCAACCTGAACCTGGGTGAAACTGAACCTATCTGCAAGTTGAACCTGGTGCACATGGTTGTAAATGGGGACATGTGTAGAGCAGGAGACAATGAAGACCCTGAACTATTTGGTATAACTGTCTTGGTTGGTGAACACCTACCAATGCTGACTTGGCATTTCACCAGCCAATTCTACCTAGGGATTACACTTGCCGATGCTGAGTTGGTAGAGTACATCCAAGTGGTGGTAGAGAGCGTTCTTCTACACCGTACTGACTTGGCAGAGAACACTTGCGCGGTGTTTTGACAACGTTCGGCAGAGAACATTCTTGCATGGTTCATTGAGGTAGTATTAGGTCTTGCCCTTGTTGTACCATATCCAATCTTGATTCTTGTGAATTTTGTGTATGTGCAAGCTTTGTTAAGCTACACTGGAAGACACACAATCTGAAGGCAAACTTCTCCTTAGAGGACTGTAGAGTTAGTGCAGGTCCAAACTCTGCGCCAGGCACTTCCCGCAGAAGCTCCCGTTATAGCAGAAAAAATTGCATGGTGCACTGAGCGTGGAATGGACACGCAAATGAGAGAAGCCAACGATGCCACATTTAGGTCTCGTAGAAGACAGTCTAGCTTATCGACATGGCGGATGCCGATTCTGACGTCCGCGAGGTGGTCGACACTCTCGACGCACAAGAGGCTGCCTTGATAGCTCGCCACGGTGATCTTCCCGAGAGGGAGCTCAACTTCATGCTGATGGGGTTACAAGCTTAGTGGGAAATCGACCATCTGCGGGCGCGTGTAGAGGATGCCTCATGAGACGAGGACAACGTGAAGGGTTTGGTAGAAGGCGAAGTGCGAGAGTTGCGCGGAGTTGTACGAGAAGGAGAATTGCCGAGCACTGAAGGATCAAGCACGGGCGATAAAAAGGACCCTAGGCAGAAGAAGGAGACTAGCTCGAAGAAGAAGAGTGCTGCAGAAGGAGACCGTTCTGACGATCATGAAGGCATAGAGAACACTGTCGACCACTCTACCGTCTACTTCCCGACAGCCTCGAAGAATGGAGGGATTGCTTCCGAGTTCGGTTACTTCAAATTTTCTCCTGACAAAATTGTGGTGCCAAGGCTCCTTGAGGGACGACATGACTTGGACTGATTGCTCCCGAGTTCGGTTACTTCAAATTTTCTCCTGACAAGATTGTGGTGCCAAGGCTCCTGGAGGGACGACATGACTTGAAACGGTTTGTCGACGGGTCGACGAAAGCCCCTTCTGTGGTAGATGGATCGCGGTACGCGGAGTTCTGCTCTGCACAGCTGCTGACATTCATGGTGATTTCGCACTGCTGTTCGCCCTCAGTGAAGATGGCGTTGAAGGCAAGTCGTCTGCGAGTGGACGCAGGTTTTTAGGCCTGGCGGTTCATCATGAAGACCTAAAAGGCTACGGATGATCTCTACATCGTGCAGCTCGAGCAGAAGTTGGCAAGTTTGGAGATGGCAGAGCATGAAACTGCTAGTGCCTACTGCACTCGTGCGCAGCAGATTCTCACTAATCTGCGGATGACTGGAGTGCAGTACTCGACGACGTCCTACGTGACGCATGTCATCAAAGGTCTGCTGGCGCATTACAGCTACCTTCGGCGAATGCTGAAAATTCTCGACATTCGGAAGACCCTGGACATCTCCGTCAAGAAACTCTGCCGCAGAGTTCAAGGACAGCTGCAACAAAAAGAAGAAATCTGCCAACAATAAGAGCAAGGGTAAACCTTGCTGGGAATGGGGGGAAGTTGGCCATTTTGTTGCTCAGTGCCCAAATCGCAAGGACAAGAAGAATGGCGATGCTATGCAAAAGAGGGAAAGCGCTCCAGCATCTGGTGGGCAGAGTAGCGGCTCTTCTACGAACACTGGTTCTTCGGATCGAAAAGGACCATCGTGCTCAACGGTCGAGTCGATTGTGGAGCAGCAGAAAATGAAAACTCTGACAATCTCATTGGATGCAGAAGCTGGCAAAGACTTCCAGGCGATTGCGGCTACAGTAGAAGTCAACCCTGTCGTTGTTCTGCTGGACAGCGGATGTTCGCACCACCTGATGGGAGACGGCAAGGCCTTCATTGACATGCGACAAGATGGCGACATCCAACAAGTGCGTGGATTCAATGACACCATCCAGGTTGTCCGAGGACAAGGCAGAATAGCTTTGCTCGGCGAGGCGGGAAAGCAGATTATGGTTCCTGATGTACTCTACATCCCCGGAATTCAAGCAAATTTGCTTTCTGCCGGACAGCTGAAGGACTACGGAGTGAATCTGCAGGACATCAGTGAGGAGACACTCATGCTTGATAGGATTAAGGACTGAGTCTAGGCGGAGTCTAGGAGCTAGAATTACTCAAAATATAAATCCGAAATTCTGGACAGAAAAGTTGTCTTCACAAGAAACAACGTCGACACAAACCTAGCCGTTGGAATGTCGCGAAAATTGGATATGTTGTAGCTTGTAATCTTATCTACTGTTCTTAATTTGAACCACGCCGATTGATGGAGTACTCACGACGCTATTTCTTTCGACGCACTAGGGGGTAAGCTGTAGGAGGAGAACTTAACTCAATGTCAAAAGTTCAATCAAAGTTCAAGAATCTCACAGAGAATTAGAGGAGCAAGAGAAAGGTTGAAAGGGAAGAGAGGGATGAGAGGGAAGATCCCAAAAGAGTCCCCAACCAAGGAAACCCCATAAGCACAAAGATTCCCTCCCTATAGGAACCCCAACTTTGACATTTGTCCCTTCCCAACCAATCCAACCATGTTGGCCACCCTTGCCAACCTAGCTTGGCTGTTCCCAACCAGTTTGCAGCTGTTACAGTAGAGTGACAAATTTCCCCAACCCCAAAGGTCCCAACTCCATATAGAGTCACCCCACAACTTCACTTTGTAACCGCCGCAATTGTAACGCAAGCTCATGAACTTTGAATCTTCATAGCTTTCGCGTTCTTGCTCCGATTGAAGCGATTCTTGTTGCGTCGGAAAGATCTTCTCAAGATCTATCATCACAAATACCTGCTCAGACAGAATAACACAAAACACATTCCCAACCTCCAGAACACACACCACACAAATTCTTTCACATACAGTTAAACCATACATGCGAATTGAAACAAGGGATGGGAGGTCGACAGAATGTGATAGCATATGATGACATCACACAACAATGCTCTCTGCCAACGGTGCTGTATTTGGACGAGCTCATTACAAGGGACGTGTTCTCAGCACGGATCTGCAGCCGTGGCCGACGCAAAGACCATGGCAGAGGCGATTGCTCTGCGCACCTTGGCGACTGACACACGCTCTTCTACAGACGTGTGGCATGCTCTGTTGGCACATATTGGGGTCGAGACAATCCAACGGAGTGCGGCGCATGGAGCGGTCACGGGCTTGGACATTGAGATACCCTCGAGCCTTGTTCTGCCGTGTTTCTCTTGCGTTGGTGGCAAGCTGTTCCGACACACCTTTCCGGCAGAGGGGAGTGATGAGAAGAAGGTGCTGGGAGAAGTGCATATCGATCTCTGCGGGCCCTTTCGAGTTCTCGCTAAAGATGGCAGCCGCTACTTTCTTCTGCTCAAGGATCGCAAGACACGCTATGTCTAGATCTACCCGATCGCGTAGAAGAGCGACATATTGCTCGTTTCTCAGAAGTGGCTTCCGAGGGCAGAACGACAATGCGAGGCCATGCTGAAGGCTCTGCGCTCTGATCGTGGTGCCAAATTTTTGGGCAGACAATTCGTGGAGTTCCTCGAAGAACGCGGAATTGAGCACGACCTCACCTGCCCCTACACCCCGCAGCAGAACGGGATGGCAGAGCGCGAAATGTGCACTGTGGTAGAGGTGTTCGTACCATGCTTCGGCACATGGGGACTCCATACCATTGGTGGCATCTTGTTGCTCTGCAAGCTGTGTGGGTGCAAAACCGTCTTGAGCATTCTTCTCTGCCATCGGGGATAACACCGTACGAGCTGCTCTTTGGCGAGAAGCTTGATCTGAGGATGGCTCGCGTTTGGGAGTGCATGGTGCAGTTTCTCATTCCGCATAACAAGCGTGGCAGGAAGCTGGCACCAAAGGCCCGTTGGGCCCTCCTCCTAGGGGTGTCACTGCAGAGTAAGGGCTGGTTGGCACTCGAATTGGCAACTAATTGATTAGTCACCACGGTGGAGGCGGTCTTCTATGAACGATGTCGCTTGACGGGTGGAAGGCGACAAAGCAGACTCCAAATGAGG